TCCAACGTCTATTGTTATTTAGCAGGGAGGAGAGACGGGAACGTTTTTGTTATCGCCGTCTGATGCCGCGGCAAATTTTAAAAATTTGCCTTTGGATCTCCCTCGGAGATCTCCCTCGGGGATCGCCCTCGAGCATTTGTTTCGCGTGGTTACTAAAGAAGAAATGGGGAGCGAGAGAGCGTTATGGTACGAGGGGGAGAGACATTACGACATCAACATCGGTCGCGGGCCGCGAAACGTCACGTTCTCGTACGATATATACGACTATATGATATATAGTTGAGAGCAAAAGTGGCAAAGCAGATAACGCACTAGTCTGTTATGAGAGATCCCGAATTCGGTTCTCGCTAGAACCAAAATATTTCATACATTCGTATCCTTCCTCTCGGAAGGAAGTATCCATACAGCACAGAAAGATTGTAGAAACATTGCAGAATGATTTCACTGAAACATTGCAATATTGCATGGTGGTTGGGAAACGTTTCTAAATCATTGCTGCAAAATTCCAACAATGTTAAGATATCCGCTTTTTGTTATATTGCAACGAAACATTCCAGGAATATTGCAATGTAATTTATTTGAATAAATTTTTTACGAAGACTCTAAAATGAAAACTATTTTCTGTACATATATCTCACTAACTTTAATTTTTCTACAAATCATATTTCTAGTAATATATGCTTTCCAACAGCAATTTTTTTATGATAAAACCATAAATATTCCAATAAATGCATTAATTCTGAAGGATATATTCATTTGCAAGGATAATTAAAACATGTATGTGTGTACCCCGAACAAACTACAAATATTATCCATATATTAACATAATACAGTTACTTGATAAGTTAATCATGGATCCATATATTAACATAATAATACAGTTACTTGATAAGTTAATCATGGGCACATTGCAATCTGCAATATTTATGTAGTACAGTTTTTTAAATTAACACTCATTTTTATGACATAATAATTAATATAATTCATTTTATATTTAAATAAAAAATTTATTGATCTATTATTTGACGGCCATTTCATTAGCTAAGTTTTATATTTATTTTGAATATGAAATCGAAAGATTGTATAATATTGAGTTTGGATACAATCAATGCATCATTATCGAATAAGACGATAAGCAATTAAACTGCTGAAAACGATTTATCGAAATATTAATTATGTGATCGATGATATATTTATTTATATCTGATGTGAACGCAAGGATAAACCAGCACCTGAACTTTATTGATAAATTTTATACCGTCATTTTTTATTCGATTTCAATTGATTCGGAGTAGTTTCGAATTTAAAAAAATGCATTCAGAAGCACAATCGCTCACTAAGCGCTCAGTGAGCTCTTGCATCTTATTTGGCATATTCCATTAGATCTAAAAATATAGACCAAATAGGTACAAGCAAAGCTCTATATATCCAAGTAGCGCATTTCTTTGATCTGAGCCGAAATGCCGACAGCTTTCCTATTAGCTATTTTGATCGCCATTTGTGACCTAGTCCAATAAGCGCTTAGTATTATTGATATAGGATATGATTAGTAAATCAAAAATGGATCTGTGAGCTACTTCGATATATAGAGCTTTATAGGTACAAGAGCTCACTGAACACTCAGTGAGCGGTCGTATTTCTGAATACACCTAATAACAAACCATCAAGTAGTATCAAGGAATAAATCGCTGACCAAAATTGTATACATGAATGCCTACTAATGCCTAGCAATGCCCAAGTAATGCCTAAATTTTATATCCGCTAATACCTTAGTAATGCCTGTTAATGCTCATTAATACTCTAGTAATGCTCTAGTTAATATCCTAGTAAGTAGTGCCTTATACCGTTTATTATAATACACAATTCTCTTAAGTAATGTCCAGTAATGCTTAGTAATGCTCCAAATGTGTACACCGTAATGCCCTCAGTGATTTACCTCTTGAGTAATATATTTGTCTAATAAATCTCTCTATCAAAAATTGCAGTTCGGAATTGGCGTTTAAATTATATTATCTTCATATATATACCTTATGTACAATCAACATGCACGCATATACGTGAGAGAGGCGGTGGTGATAGCGTAATAGCACTTGAAGAAGATATACGATGCTGTACATGCGAGCGGCTGAAATTCGACTTGCGTTCGCAAAAAATCTACGGGGCCGACTTTCCCGGACTCGGCGCTCGTAACAAATTACGAGGACCTGCTGTGCTCTCGCAATAACGAAACGTCCCCATACAACACAGATTATTTCAGCAATATTGCAATGTTTCAACAATATACAGAAGCTACACATTTTTCGGTGTATACAATATAGGTACATTATCTCCGTGTCCAGATTTATATTATTAGAATGCCAATCTTTCGTGAATATTGCAATTTATTTCATCAAGGCAAGGAGTAGCCTAATATTGTTATTACAATAATATTGTAATAACATTGCGACGTTGTAGCAATATTACAACAATATTGCAGCGTTCTATGCAGCATGAATATTACAGCAACATTGCAACGTTCAAGCAATATTGCAATACATCCCAAATGATATGCATTACCTGTAAGATCTCCTTATTATATATTTTAGATATTTATGACCTAAAAAACATCTTTATGATGTCTTCATGACGTTTTTAGGTATGCATATTATCTAGGAAGGTCTGTTCTTTATCAAAGAACTTTCTAAACCGGTGCAATAAGTGGAATTGAAACAAATATAATAATTATGTCTTTCACTTCAACTTATTGTACCGTGTGTACCAATTTAAAGAGTTCATTGATGAAAAGAACAGACTTACTGCAACGTTGTAGCAATGTTGCTGCAAGTTTCTGCGCTGTATGGATCCGCGTATGAAATAGAAAAAGGAACGTGTGGAGTTTCAGCAACAACGAGGCCACGAAGAGGCTCGCGAATCGTTCACAGTTGACTTCGCGAATTGTATCGTCGTTCGGGCGACGCGGCGTGCGAGCAAGACTCACTTTCACGTCGCTCGCTCACTTCTCCTTCCTTGCGCCTTCCAGCGAGAATGTATCTCACGTAAGCAAATGTCGCACTCGCTCAATTCAACGACGATGACAATAATGATGATTGAGAATGACGACGATGATTGAATCGTCTGCTCGGAATGGCATTTTTACCATCACGGATCACGCGTTACATACGCATATGTTAAGTTTCGGATGTACGTGCTTTATATATCTATTTGTATATACTTCTGTTTATTGTATGTTTTAAATCTCAAGGAATCGCTCCTACGCGCCGCAATAATCATTAGAAAGTTCTCGCAATCCGCACAGCAACTTGCAGCAACATTGTTGGAACAATTGCAATGACTGCATTTAGCAGAAAGAGTAGCTTTGCAACTGTAAAATTCTTGAATATGATTGGTTTGTACATTTAGATTCAGCAAAGAACTAAGAGCAACATTAACATCCAAGGAACACATCAAGTCAAGAGAGAATTAAAATGATTTTATTTCGACGTCGTTAAAAGTAAAAAACTGATGATTTTTGGTTACAAAATTTGACCGCTTATAGATGTTAAGAATCAAAATAAAGTTATCCTGATTTTTTATCGACTTTTACGTATTCCTTGAGTATTAAAGAATTTTACAACAGTTGCAAAGCTGTTTTTTTTTCTGTTGAACGCAATATTGCTGGAACGTTGCAATGTCGCTGTAATATTGCTAGAATAATTTGTGCTGTACCGAGAAAACCTTTCTCGCAGCGATTCTCCATATGTCGCGCACGGATTTCCTAGGATCAGGCGATCTCCCGCGGGTGTCTCCTCTACGTACCTCTCGAGTGACAGTGCCTGGCGAGCACGTCGCCCCGCGATCGCCTCTGCCGTTTTCCACCGCCTACAATATGGTTCACAGACTGGTTCGTGATAGGCACTCGCGATGCTCACCGCGCTCTCTCCTATCCATAATCGGCGAAAGTAGCGTTGGCTCGCAGTAAGACCGTGCGATTTTCCACGATTAATCCGCAAAACTATCAAAAATACTCAATGACACGATCGACACTATCATCAGTAAAAGGATCGATAGGGTGGAAAGGTCCTACTTGGACGATTCTCGGTAGCATAAACCAAGTTCTCCTCGCGACGACCGCGGCTGTCGACTACTCTCGCGCGAGCGAGCGAGCGAGTGAAATGAATGTACGATCGAGGGGGGAGAAAGAGAGGAAATGCGCGGTCCGCGGGGTGCCTCGTTAAGTAAGGCGCGCGCCTTTATTCGGCCGTGCCCGCTCGCCCAAGAGCCTGCAAAAAGCCTCCTTCAACCGCGGCGTATCGCCGTTCACTGCGCTGCTTCGCCGCTGGTGGACCGCCGCGTCGCAGCAGACCTTGCGCCTCGACATTACCGCGAGTGAGAGTCCACCCAGGACGTTCACCATGTTGGTGAACAGTCGAACGGCGCATGCGTGTGTACCACCCCCTTTGACTCGTTGCCTACCTTCACCGATGACGTCAAAAATAGGACAAGGAGCTGGTGGCCTTTGCTACAAGGCGCGCCGCGAAGGGGATAGAGGGGGGGGCGGAGGAGGGAGGGAGGGAGGAGGAGGAGAGGAGGGCCACTGAACTGTCCCTTGATGTCTTCTGTCTCGATCTCACCTTTCTATCTCTTGGTTTCTCTCTTCCTCCCGCCGCCTCCGTCACTGGCGGCGGTCACCCGGCAGGACCGAGGCGGCTAACTGGCGATTTAGCGATGAGGGAGGAAAAAGGTACGCTTGAATTGTAGGAAGGATTGTAAGTGCGCGGAACAGGCGATTGAAGCGAAGGAATATACTTCATATAAATTGAATAATTCGTTAAATTAATTTGTTTACTTAAAAAAAAGTAAAGTTGAAGTTAAATTTAATGAAATATAACAATTCATGTAAATTAAAAATAATTAGTTAAATGTATTTTTTTACCTAAAAAAGTAAATTTAAGTTGAAATAAATTTAATATGGAGTATTTTTAATGTATATAAATTATTTCTTTCAAGAGAATTTTGTAGAAATTATATTTGGACGAGATCCAGCTGTATTATCCATTCACACATGTGACATCTCAGATGGTGAACTCGATATCCTACGAAGAGGATGGAGGGAATCAACGAGCGATGCTGGTCCCCACAAACTCGCAATCCGTTTCTTCTCTATTCTCTAGCCTTTTCTCTCTTCTCACTAGCGAATGGAGGGGGCTATGGGAGCCATGACTCTCCTCTCATTGAAGTTTCCTTTTTTAAGAATATTTATAGTAAAATTATACAATATTTTTAATAATTCTAAAATGCTTAATCATAATTTTAATATTCCAAAAATATTTTTTAATTTAAGAAACTCCTAGATATAAAAGACATAGATTCCATTATTATTTTTTTATGTTAACATCATTTTAAATAAAACAAGTAAATTATAATGTAAATAAAACAAATTTTACTTAAAATATATTTTAAATAAAACGAATTCTAGCTATGAATTATACATTTAAATAATATTGTTTCAGTATAATCAATTTAATATAATAATAATTTAAATAATAATTTAATATTTTATTTTTTCATATGATTTTGACCTTAAAAAAATTTGCGACGCACCAATGGTCCCTTTTGACAAATTTTTGAATCGCCTATGGTCTCTTTTCGTAGAAGGCCTCGTCAGCTGTTCTTTACCTCGTTGTCTTACCATCTCGCGTCACGTACGTGCATGCTTGCATGTACACGTACGCGTCGTCCGTCCGCATTACAAATTTTTGGTACCGCCCCGTGCCCGCCGTGGTGCGTATCCAGCGGCAATAGATAAATATGATTTTGGAATCAGGGTAGCATGTAAAGCCCATTTTACAATTGTCTAAAAGTAGTTGTGAGTGATTGTAGTTGTAAGACTGACTAATCACAGTGTGGAGAATATTTGATTGAAATGGCCAATTCTTACAATAATCCTATACCAACACGCAATATTCTTAAAATATTCTATGAATATTATTTATCCTTTGTAACATTCTAAGAATATTATATCTTATAGGGAAAAATTATTTAAATAATTAGAACCATGACATACAAAAAAAACTTAAGCAGTAACACACAAACTATATTCACTTGATGCTACAAATGTGCTTCGAAGCATTTTTTAATTATCAATCAAAGTTAGTAAAATTCTTTCTTCTGATTGGTCAATCAAAAGTTTCGAAGCACTTGTAGCTTCAAGTGGACCGCATTCGTAAATAGTATAAGGAAATCAACATGTTGGATTGATTACTGTTTACATTATGACCTTACGATCTCTACTGTGATGGCCAATTAACTTACCGATTATGTTTTTTTGAGTGCCATAGCCCTTGCAACTACGCTTACGCAATTGTCAAACGAACGTAATTTCCCCTACAGCACGAAATATATATTGCAGCAATATTTTAATAGTGGGTCATATTACAAAAATTGCAGCAATATCGCTACTATATTAAAATATCAATATTTTATTGAAAATATTGCAACAATATTGTGAACTATTGTAATTTTAATGACTGCGTTCAGCAGAAAAAACAGCTTAATTGTAACTGTTGTATGATTCTTTAATATGATTATAGTTATATCTTTATAGTTATACATTTAGTAAGGAATATTCAAGTAAAGAACTAAAGATAAGACCAATCACGTTAAAGAATTTTTGCAAATAGTTGCGAAGTATAATTTGGATGCTAATCAATACAATATTTTAGCAATAAAAGTAGATTAATTATTGAAATATTGCAACAATATATTTGCAATATTTCTCTAAACATTGCAATAATTTTGTAGGTATATTTTATTTTAACAGACATAAAAATATTTCCCTAGAGAAAAAAGTGAAAATTTTTATTATCGAAGTTAATGGAGAAAATTTTTCACGTTTCTTTCAGGAGAAAAGTTACATGATCAGTACCCTGATTAGAGAGTGAAGAAGTCGTGACAGGCGTCCAGTCATCAAGGCGAACATGCAGAATTACTCTCGCTCTCTTTAGTCTCTTTAGATCTATTTTTTCTGGTTAAACTAACTAGTGTACACTTGTACTTAAAATGAAATAAGTATGTATTTTTAAGTTTGGCGAAAGCGAGATAGAAAGTTTTAGTGCAATTTATTGCAGCGACAAACAACACAGGCATTGTGTCGAACAATTTCCATATCTCGGGATCTGGAATGAGGGGGACACCGTATGGCGTTCATGTCTCGTCGATTAAAAACAAGCGCCTACTTTTGCTACTTCGTCAAGTGGAATATCCGGTGGTATCGGATGAATATTAATTAAAAATTCTATGTTCTTAGTCCGTGCGTAACTTTTAGATTTTATCATTCCGTTCAAATCGGGATAAATAAAAAAAGAATTTTTAATTGACCTATTATGCATATAGAAAGAAAGTATTAAATATAAAATCAATCTCAAGAATCCGAAAAATTCTTGGTTTAGCAAAATTTCTATTAATTTTGTCTAATTCGTATGTAAGACCATTTAATAAGACCATTTAATAAGACCGTTTGTAAGACCATTATATTAATGAAAGATTATTTTAAATTATTTTTGCTCATTTGTGAATTTTTAATGAATTTCTAAATTATAACTTCTAAATTAATATTTAATGAATCACGAAAAGATAGAGGACTATTCTATCCAGTTTAGTTTAACTGACAAAATATTACATTATTATCAAACAGACACTGTGTGTGTGCGTGTATATGTACATATATTGCGTGTGTATATATTAGGTGTTGGAATTAATTCGTAGCGTTTTACAAGTGATGGAAAGTACTTTCATTAATGTATTTTTTAATGCTCATGTGAAATAAAAAACGCTACGAATTAATTCCAACACCTAATAATTAATAAGTACGTAATTCATAGTGGCAGTATTAATTAAAAAAATTGATGTCTTCGAATTTTATTGAAGTATATGTAAATATAAAATCAAGCTACAAGAGCACTGGCCGTTGAACTTTCGTATTTCCAGTTTGGCGGCAGAGATCCTTTCGCCTTATAATAACGTGCCAACCTGTGAATTCTCGACTCGACGAGAATTAAACGGAATTTGGAATCTTTGTCTTTGCGATTTCGCTCCAAATGTTTGCGCACAGCGACAGCCTTTTTTATCAGGTAATAGAGATCCTCTGGTAAATCGGGAGCCAGACCCATGCTCTTTACAATGCGCAGAATCTTATTTCCTGTACGGAATCGTACTTGTGCTACTCCATGTGAATCACGAAGTATGACACCTATAAAAATACAAAGTATGTTGTCTTATACACAGTTCTTTTTGCCATTTTGATAATTATCAAACTTGTTATTTTACAAAAGTATCAGTGATGACCTATTGTGAAATGACAAATGATCAGATTCACATCAAACATCACTTATAATCTTGCAAACATATTTGAGAGAATCAAATTAAAAACTCTAAGATTCCCTGCATAGAGTTTGCTTTCAAATATGTTGATTCCTTTCAATTAGCAGCTAGTAAAGCTTTTATTAGCAGAAAAATAAATGCATATCAAAATTACCAATTTGAGATGGTGTATGTCCTTTTTTTGCTAGTTTGTAGATAAGTTCTTTACAATCTTCTGGTGTTAATTTCAACCAAGTTGGTACACTTCGTCGGTAAGGAAGCGCCGACTGAGATATACCTTTTCTAATATATATATAATTAAATTTAAAAATATACATAATTAATTTATAAAAAATAAATCTACTTTAAAATTTTTTAAATACATTTCACAAGAATATTTAGGAAGTAATGTTTCAGAAGTATTGTATAAAAATACTAAAACTATATATTGTATAAAAAAACGAATAATGGTAATAAAAAGTTAAAAGCTAAATAATGACCAGTTATTGACCAATATAATAATGTAAGAGTTATAAAATATTAAATAAAATTTAAAATAACCAATACATTAAAAATAAGCATTATGGTTTATTTTTAATATATTGGATATATTAAATCTAATATTTTATGATACCCTTTGTCTTTGCCCTCTTTTTCTTATATTAGATATAAAAGATTAAGTTGTTCATTATTAAACATGTTTCTGCTATACTGTTAAAAATTAACAAAAAAAAAATAACATTGCATTAGTAACTTAATTAAATACTAGTACTTGACAAATGTTTCACTGACATTGACAGGAGAAATAACGTCATAATAAGATCGCGGTCACACCATGTGTACACGTGATAGGTTATGTATTCTCGTGGCTAAAAGCTATGTGCTTGATTTACCAAGAGACATGGCATACAAAAAAGCTGAATCATTAAATTGCTCAACAACTGTAAATGATAAATTATAAAGCTGATAGGGTAATTGATTGAATGAAAAGAACGGAGTTACAAACACATGGTTATTGGATGTGCACCTCGACAGAACACATCTCGACAAGACATATTCTTATACCATGTCGACGTCGAGAATCTTGGTAAATCGCGAGCGTCGCAGCGAACAGAAAATTAAAGAGATTACATCGATGATAATAAATATTGTTATGTTACCCATGTGAGTGCATACGACCCATCTTGTTAGGATTTTTCCAACAACGTCGTTCACGATTGGAAAAATGAAAGAGGACGGCGAGAGAAGATGGCGCCCTCCTTCTGTTAACGTAAAGTCGGAAACACAATGAGCGCGTTCAAGTCGACAAAGTAGCTAGGTCTGCTCGCCGAGCAAATAAACATGATTGATTGGATCTACTTGATAAGAACCAATCATGCTTATTCACTCAGCAAGCATGCCTAGCCGCTTTACCATTCTTGAACTCGCTCAATGGCTGCGTTCAGTAAACTTAACTGTTGAATCAGCGCTCGCTGCTATTGATGTATTCTTCCAGATCTAAAATACTAATTGGATGATCTAGAAGAATACACAATGGGTGATCCACTTTATGCTGCAAATGTTTTGAAGCATTCTTTGATTGATCAATTCGTAAAATTCTTTTTTCTGATTGATCAACGAAGTATTTGCAGCATCAAGTGGATCACACTCATTAGATGTATTCATATTTTATAGCCATAGACTATAAAGCTGTCGCACACAATATTCCGCAATAGTGACTGTAAGACCGGAATCAGACTACGCATTGAAAAGTGAGATTGAAGATTAAAGTTTGATCAGAACAAAAAGAGTCAGAATTTCTTTCTCCTCATTGATGAAATTTCAATCTTTAATCTTCAATCTCAATCTTCAATACATAGTCTGATTCCGACCTGAGACTCTTTACCAAAAAGTCGCAACACTTTCTTTAAATGGATTTTGAAATGCAGCCTGCTCGAGTGATTAGTTATTTTTTATGGATCATAATCCATCAGATTTAAGGATATATCTACACAAACGAAAATTATCTAATCACATTTTAATTGGATAATTTTCTTTATGCGGCTATTCAAGTTTGTGTGGATATACTTTAATTACGGTCTATTTGTTATGGCTTAAGATTTAAGTCATCTGTTGTAGATCCGGACTAATTGTTGCGAAGCGGATCCATAAACGCTCGCTACTATTGATGTATTCTTTCTAAAATGCTGATTGGATGATCTAAAAAATTCATTAATGCAGCTGCGTTCAGCAGAAAAAACAGATTTGCAACTATTATAAAGGCTGTGGTTAAAGTCTCGCTACAAATACTTTGAAGTATTTGATGGACCAATAGAAGAAAGAATTTTACAAACTGACCAATTAAAAAACGCTTCAAAGCATTTGTAGCATCGTGTTGACCGTACCCAAAAATTTGCAATACGATTAATTTGTATATTTAAATCTATAAGAAATCAAAAGCAAGAATTAATTGTATTAAAGAATTTTACAACAGTTGCAAAGGTGCTTTTTCTGCTGAACACAGCCAATGGATGCAATCGGTATTATTTGCTCACTGAGCGCTTAGTGAATGAACGCAGCCATTGGTGTATTCTTCTAGATTATCCAATAGTAGCGAACGCTTACAGATCCGCTCAGTAAGGAAGTGTTTATATTGGTCGTAACCATATGCTGTAATCAGTAAGAATTGACTAATCATAGTCGAGTATTCCCCTCTCATTCGAAGAAGAGAATACTCGAAGGTAATTGCGATGGAACCCGCTTGACCAAACACCGCCATTAACATAATAAGTCCAGTCAGTTCAGTCAATCGTAACATCGCCTCGATTCAGCCAGACAAGCGACACGTAGGCGCACTGGACTTCACAGGGAGAGAGTGGCAAATTGCATCATGTGAATGCCCACGTTCAATTAGGAAAAGAGTCACATGACCAGTTTTCTTCAATCTCTTCCATGCCTATGGAACTTTGATGCCTATGTTCAATCAGAGAAGACAGGTAACGTGCAATTTGTCACTTTCTCCCTATGAGACTTTATCTTTTAGGTCC